CAACGTGAAAGGTGGTATACAAATGTAATTTTCTTGTTGTTGATGAGTTTCTGCTTGTATGAAGCTGACCAAAAAAAAGCAAGTATAATATCATAAGTAGTTGGGTGTTCGCTCTGAATGATGTTAATACCGTACTATCAAGCACAACCCAATGATATAGCATTCACAATACATAGCTCTCTATATGCCACAGAAGCTTACTGGAGGGCTTGAGGCTGTCTGGAAGGGGATATATTTGTCCTTTGCTTTCATAAAGGCTGCTTAACAAAAAAAAGTGATGTGTGAGGCAAGGCAGAGCTCATTGAATTAAATCTTGATCAAGGAATGCAAATCTGTGCCAACATTAATAGAAAAATGAATGGATCGGTTACTAATTACACACCACCACTACACATGGAACACTTTCTAATCAAGCTATCTGATCTTTCTTCAGAAACACTCACGCAATGGAGCCGGATGTTTAAGGTAAATGGGAGTTTATTGGTTAGTCTGTGATGTTACAGCCTTTCGGTACGGAGCTTAATAAAAACATTCCACAGCTGATTTGATTGGATGATGGCCCGCAGGGTAATGGAATTGAATTCCGTGGCAGCAAATTGTCGAGACAACTCAACGAAAGCCAAGTACCGACTCGGGCGATGAACTGGGGGTCACAGAGGAGAGGTTGGAGCTGCAGTGTCACAGTGCAGCTGGAGTTTTACTGTGCTTGCAAACACGTGTCTGAGCAGCTGCGCGAGAAGTAGCTTTTCAAGGTGTGCTTGCCTGCATGACGCTGCCTAAAATACGGCATAAGCACTGGTGTAGACTACCAGGAGCCTACCAGACTATCTAACCAGAGGAATATAAAAGCAAGAACACACCTCAATTGGGAGAATTGTGCTTGTTTTTCAATTTTAACAGTGATTAACAGAATACCACTAAAAACTGTTCCTAAATAAATTGTGAAAAGTTGTGAACACTGGTAATGATAGAGTTACGATAATCGAGTAAGATTGTTCCTCAGCTTTTAAAAAGAAGAAAAAGGCAAGAGGGGTTTAGATTTTTAGGATTGGCCTCATCTTTGATGGGTATTACTTGGCTTTGTAGCCTAATCCTAGAGACAGATTTTACCACAAATGTGACAGGTGAGAGATGAACCAATTGATGGTGTGGTCACAGAAGACTGTCATTCCTTCCTCTGTCTAGATTTCTCTTCTTCCGTGACAATCCCAAATGAACACTGGTAGGACTCATCAGCTGGATCTGAGTAAAGCCTTATCTGCCTGTTCTGGTGGATGTTAAAAATCCCATAGCATTATTTGAAAAGAGAAGGGAGTTTCTACTCATTTTCCTCCACAATACCCCCAGATTTTGTAAAAAAAGTCATTCACTTAATGGCTGTTTGTGGGACACTGCTGTTTGGATATGTTTGCCTACAAAATACACAGTCATAACATTTTGTGAAGCTCTTTAAAACATTCGATACAATAATAATAATGCTTGGCTTTGATATAATGCTATATCATATCAGTGAGACACCTCAAGGTAGGATTTGAACCCATCCCCTTCTGACTCAGAGGCAAGAGTGCTACCAACTGAGCCAGTCTAATGCTATTTTAAACATATAACTTGTATTGAGGTGAATAATACTGTAATAAACGGCATTTTGTTTGATTACCACCATTGCTAGTGCTATCATTTTTTATTAACAAGAAATTGTGATTCTTTGGAATATAACAGTGATAGCATACGGTCTGATTCACTGAATTAGACCCGACACAAGACACAGCACATTATTAACACTCAGAAGAAACTCAGAGCCTTTATTTAAAATGTTGAAATGCCTGTGAAAATGTACGACACAGCGCTGAATTTCTGCCACACAACTGATATTCAGGTGTGAACTGCAGGGACATTTAAAAAAAGAACATGCACTTTGTCACATTTCCGAATTATTACACACAGCCTTGCTGTCTCCTAAACCTTGCACTGTCAAGGCTAACACTAGACACTTGTTGCACTCTGGTGACTTTGATGTGCCAGATGCTAGGAATTCCACCCAGTCTTATCCGATCAGGACTATTTTGTCTTAAAGTTAAACATCGTCCAGATTTGTGGAAACTTCTTAAATCCGGTCTTAATTTGGGAGCCGGTTTCTGCAGTTCTTAAGGAGAATTGGTTTCAAAATAAACCTGAATTGAAGACTTTTCCACATTTCTTAAATTTACAGCAAAATAGTCTTGCAGGCTGAGACCAGGGCAATTTCAGGCCATGTTTGATAAAGAAATGCCAAGTCTTATATATACAGTATGTTAATGTTACACTATCATTTGCCTTTGAGCACCAGTGTTTTTATTCTTTGACAGTACTTGATGAAATGTCATCTGTCAAACGCCGGATGGCTTAACAGAGAATTGGGATCCAAATTGACCAATTGCCTCCAAGCTTGTACAAAACAGTGAGCATGGTAAAAATGTCTTAAGTTTATCAATACTGGTGGTCATTGCTCTCTCAGATCTGTTCACTTGCTCCTCCTAAACTCTAAATATACTGTCCTTCACATTGTTCTTCCTTTCATCCTCACTGTAATGTCATCAAAACTCATCACTCATTTTCAAGTCTACCTCTTTCAGGGCTTGAACTCCTCTCTTTCAGTCTTCCCAACTTCCTGCACTCTACAGAGTGTATGCAAACTCCTCTTACTCTCCTATTACAAAACAGTGATACAAGACTACAGAAGAGCTGCAACAAGCTGTCAGATGTATTTACCTCATCACTCCATCATGTTACAGAAAATATGGCACCGAACATGATGACTGACCATTATCTGCCATAAAAATGATGGCGCTCACTCACACCAATCCTCTGGAGGTCTAAATACAGTTAAACACTTTTACTGAATACAAATAAGTACTTGTACTTAATGCAATTATCATCATTCTTCCACATGTTTCAGTTGCTGGTTAGTGCACTGTCAACAAAATGGAGGTAACAGGACTTTGTGTACACCCTGAACAAGCTGTTAATATCCAAGCTTGGCATCATTCGCCCACAACATATACAGTCAATTCACTTTACGGTATATTCTGTGAAGCACTTGGAGACATCGCGAAGATGTGATAAGGCGCTATATCAAATGCAAGGATTATTTTTATCATTTAATCACTTCTTGCATTTTCTCCGTTGCTGTTTTGAACATTGGCACTGAAATTTACTGTGGCCTTTGGACCTCCACCTGGGTTCTCAATAATGAATTATTTACTAACAAAAGAGATAGGAGGCCAACTGATGAACTCACCAGCGTGATAATTCTTAACAATACAAACTAATACTGGGAATCACTAAGTCAGCCGCTCCAACTGTCTGCCATCAATGGCGTTATAGGCGTTGTTGTTGACAGTCATGCCATTCACTCTTGGCCTCTTGGTAGAGGGCTGTAGTATGGCTGTAATACTGTATAATGAGGCTTCCTTGTTTAACATTCAGCTTGAAGAAAGCCTTTGGTGAAGAAAGTGTCCTGTTCACACAGGACTGAATCTCACTATGTTGGGATATGCTGCCAGTCATTGACATTGTCATTTCGAAATAGTGCTGTCCTTCTAAAAATCATTAATAATAATACAATTGTATTTGTTTTTAAAAATAGTAACACTTAAAAGTGTTTTGGCTTATAGTAGTGACTTCAGTATATCAACATTGCAATTGTGTGGCTTTCCATTTTATAACAACACTGTCCTATAATCACTGCTGTGTTGCTCAGTAGCTGCCTCCAGAGCTCTTACAAGTGGATGGTTTAAATTAAGTTTTCCCCTACAAATGTTATATACACAACCCTACAGAGAGTTTCATTAAATGCTTATTCAGATAAATGTAAAATCCCATTTAAATAAGGGGAATAAAACAATGCCTCCAGGCAGTACAAATTCAGTTCACTTCAAGGAGAGTTGGGATGGTTATCGAGGTTGGGCAATGCTATTAATCTGAGACCTGGCTGTATCACAGTGCAGCTGATCAGACAGCTGAGTGTGTTTGCTTGGCAGCTCATGGGCCCAGAAGAAGTTCAGTGAAGTGACAATTCACACAGGAGGACCTGAGACCATGGCGAGAACAGTTACCTTGATTCTGTCACTGCAAACCTGTAACATAACACGAGACACGCAGATAATACCAAAACACAGCAAATATGGATGAGATATGGGGGAGTGAATCTTTACTGTTGACTGAAGACGTCGCCACAGCTTAATAGAGAGGTGGAATGAGGCACTACATTATATAAGCCAGGGTTGGGGTGGGTGGGGAAGGATTATTTTTAGAGTAGCTGGGTGTCTGCGGAAACACATCCCCATGCTTACGAATATCCAAACCCAGCTGAGAATTCCATGCATCTCACCTACACGTAGAAATCCCAGAGATAAGATTGTTAGAATGGAATGCGCACTCCCTCCCTGGAGGGACGAATCCTGCTTACCTATTTCTGGAAGGTATTAGGCGCAGGTCGGCAACAGCCAAGGCTTGGGGATCCCAGAGTGTGCAGTGGGGTAAGTGCTGGTGTCCAACCAGCTAAAACCATAGGTTGTGGAGGGTGGGGTGTGGGTGGGTGAGGAAAAGAGCTGACTAGTTGTATATGTGGATTTTTTTGTGGCCGTGCTCACTCGCAAATTTAACATTGTGTGAAAAGGATGAGGGGGAGGATAATAAAATAAGGGAGCTTCAAATTTAATGTACAAGACTTGCCAGGTCTGGGCTAATGATATTATCAGATGGCAGTGCTGCGTTTACCTACATAATACACAATCCCTACACTCTACAGTGTGTCCTGAAAATGACTTTGAGAATCCTCCCGACATGAAAGGCACTGTACCAAACGTAAGCAGGTCAGGTAGCATCTATGGAGAGAGCAAAGTGAGTTCACATTTCAGGTCGATGACCTTTCATCGGAACGAAAGAGTTCGGACGAAAGGTCATTGACTGAAACATTAACTCACTTTCCTTTCTCCATAGTCGCTGCCTGACCTGCTGAGTGTTCCAGCGACTTCTGTTTTTATTTCAGATTTCCAGCATCTGCAGTAATTTGCCTTTTGTACTTAATGCAAGGATGGTTATGGAGCACTGATCAAAATGGCTTGAGCCCAGCACGCGTACTGTTGTTCCATGTGACAGGGTCCGCTGTCCATTGGTTAATCTGTGTTGAACTGACGGGTGTCCTTTGCTTTTCTGCAGGAGGTTTCATCTCCACATTCCTCAGCACTACTGGGCATAGACTAATCACATACATACTTGGGCAAGGGGTAAGGTTGAGTAGAAAAAACGGAGTTGGTGAAGTTCCTGTGCCCTCGGAGGTCGTTGTTTAGGGTTTATCGTTGGCATAAATTGCACCGAAGAACGAAGAGCCAGAGAGAGTGACGGTCATTGTGTCCCCTCGTAGCGAGTCTTCGCACGGGCAGATGGGCGCAGACAGGCCACAAGTGGGCTGCCAGGGTTTACCACAGTCCCTGCTGTTTTCCCGAGCAGTGGCCTCTCTGCAGACTGATGTCATCCAAGGCGATCTCCCCACTTCGTTCCGTTTCTCGCACCCCTTTAAAGATGACCTGAGGAAAGAGAAACAAACAAAGCCTGTGTTACCGGCTGTAAGGAAGCTTACTTTACCAGACGCTGCTAGTCAGTCTTCCTGCTCAAACAGTGTGGTCACCTGAGGCTTCATATCCCACAGCTGTAACAGTTTGAAACTAATCCGCCAAACTATGCACTCGGGACTTCAGCAGCCTGACTATTTTGAGTCATGTTTTGTCTTACATCAGCCTCCAAACGCGTTCTTCCCACCTGTCTTGGAGCGCACTCATCTGTTTGAAGAACATTTTCTTGTCGAACACGGGAATCACTGAAGCGAAGCGCTGTTAACCCCCTGGGGGCTGAATTGCATCGGTATTCCCTTTTATATACACCACCTGTTTTATTCTATAGGGCAGTAAAGGAAGTAGGGCAATGCCCCAGAGCAGTCTAAGCTGTTCCTGTACAGTCATGTTACTAATGCGCTCCTATATAAAAGTGTCAGAACAACTGAGCAGTTCAGTGATCTTTACAATTAAGATGGTTTTGCATCCTTTCAGGAATGCACTCTGCATGTAAAAGCTTCACAGAAGTGCTCATCGTTAAGATACTCTTCCCCAATCTCTTCATTGTAAAGATTACAGAAGATTTTAATTGTTTCTGCTATTCTGATTTCTTGCCTGCTCCACAGTCAATTGCTTTAGAAAGTTAGATTATCTCTTGCTTGTTCCATGGATTTGGTGAGCACTTGTTACAACACGGGGATGGTTGAAACAAGAGGAATCTCGCTGTGATCCCTTTGATGTAATCAATGGGAGGTTGCACATCTGGTGTGTCAGGATATGACAAACCTGAATTGAGAGCAAAGCTCATAGATTCCCATTATACATCCCATCACATTGCTTACATAAGCAGATCTTAGAGACACCCGCTACAGTGGAGTCCTGTAGCTCAGTGGTTAGAGCACTCGCTTTGCAAGCGAGAGATCTGAGTTCAATTCCCGGCAGGGCGAAACCTTGGGCAAGTTTCCTTACTCCACACAAAGCCTAATAATAATCCCTCCAAAACCAAAAACAATAATAAATTGGTCATTTTCAATCTACGACTGTTTGTGGGACATTGCTGTGCGCAATTGGCTGCCGCGTTCGCCCACAAATATACAGTCAATTCACTTTACAGTGTGTTCTGTGAAGCGCTTTGGGACGTCCTCCCGACGTGAAAAGAGCTATATCAAATGCAAGGATTATTATTATTATTATATTTGTTAAAGAGGGTCTAAAAGGGGAGTCTGCTGCCTCTTCAATATCCATACCATTGGAGGACCGATCACATGATCAATCACATCATTGATGACTGATCATATGATTATTATTAAATACATCATTAACTCCACAAGTGCTATTTCTATGAACTTAGATCCTCTTTCCTGACTCTGGGAATCAGATTTAAAGTGGTTTGCTAAAACATTCCAGAGTAATGTTCCCGCATTAAAGGTGTACAACATTTATCAGATATTTCCTGTGTAATTTCTGATAATTGAGTCAAAGCCAAGAACCTCTGCCAAATAGAAATCTGATTTTTTAATATAAAGTTTCCAAACCAACCTAATTAAAAAGTCCTCTTGTGGCCTGGATCAACTATAAAAATAACATATTTTTGAGGGGTGGAATATCTATATATATATAATATATTTATATATGTCATAAGTGTCTCCAATTCTGGGGCCAGTTTTCTGGCAGCATCATAGGAACATAAGAATACAGATAGAGGAGTAGGCCATTCAACCCCCCGAGTCTGTTCTGCCATTCTATTAGATCATGGCTGATTTGTACATCAACTCCATTTACCTGCCTTTGCCCAGATCCCTTGATACCCTTACTCTCAGCGGCTTGAGCTCACAGTCTAGGCTGACAGACCAGTATTGGAGTGCTACACATTGTAGACGATGCCATTCTTTGGATGAAATGTTAATCTAAAGTTGTTCTTCTGCTGTTCTTCAGCTGGACATTAACGATTCCATCTGACTATTTGAAAAGAGAATTTGTCCCAATATCCCACAGTTATTTGTGGAACCTTGTTGTGTGCCACGAGCTGCCTCCAAAAACAACAACAAAAGCTTGCATTTATATAGCACCCTCACACGAGTAGTGACTCAGAGAGTTTAACACTGAGCCAGAAAGGGAGGGGAGGGACCAGAGGAAAGTCTTCAGGTGCGTTTTGAAGATGGGCAAAGAGGGGGCAAGAGGGAGGGATTGAGCCAAGGAGTTCCAGAAAGTTTGGTCATTGTGGCTGAAAGCACAGATACCAAAAACAAAGTGACTACATTTGACAGAAGTCACTGTTAAATGCTTTCAGCCATTTGAAGATAATGTGAACATGTGATTTTGTTCTTATTTTACCTGATTGTTTGAAACAATTACATTTCCCATTGGGATTGGCTCCCTATAAATGCTCCACTTTCAGTGTGTCTCAGTGTCACTCTTTAACCAGATTCTTGAATTCCAGTGACAGGAGCAAGCTGACCGTGGTTAGGTCCACTCACAGTCTAGAACACATTGACCTAAAGGTGGGAGGTTTGACGTCCATCTACTACACTAGGCTTCACCAGATCCTGTGAGCTTTACAACTGGCCTGACATTATCAAGCGTCTACATCTATTCTACATCAGTGCAACAGAATTTCCAAAGCAAATCTAACCCGTGTGTGTATGTGTTTTTAAGTGTAATTTCTGAATGATAAAACTTACGTGCTCAATGCCTGGTCCTTTCAGTGTGAACCGACTTGTTCTCCAGCCATAGCCCCGGTTTCTCTGCCACAAGGCCTGGCCATAAACGCTGTTCCTCCTCATAAACACCTGTATCTTCCCGAGAGAGTCACCAGACAGCTTGTGCCTGAAGGTAAGGCAAAGGTTGTCTGTGTCTGCTCTCAGTGCGAGAGGGAGAATCAGATGGGCCACGTCCCTCTTTTTGGTGTTGGATTCAGAAAGAGCCAGGTACCAGCTACGACCTGAGAATGCAAACAGTTTGTGGAATTAATTCAGCCCATGGGCCACAAGAACCTCAATAAGTAACAGAGGGGATTAATTATAGTAAAAGTGAAGTGATTATAACTTTAAGATGTTTTGATTCCAAGTATCACAGAATTACAGAAAATCTGTAACATAGAGGCAATATCACACTCTCCTATCGTGCTGCTGAAATCTCCCAATATTTGATCACTTTCCCAACATCCGATCATTCCATGAAAAATTCCCAATATCCGATCAATTTATGAATTGCACCCAATATCTCATCATTATATGGAATGGTTCCAGTGCCTATTCCGCTGGACTAGTGCTTGAGCAACATATAAAATAGGACAAAGCCTCAACTGTCTGCATATTGTCCTCTGTGGCTGATCACTGGATGGAATACTCAATGATCCTTTCTAAAAAGAGCCTGCAGGGAACATGGTAACAATTTTTAACAACAGGAACGGTGTGCAATATGAGGCGATGTCCCAGAATGGGTTGGTCCACAAGTCTGGGACTCGGGCGGCGCAAGCCACTTATTGAGAACAACCAGTTCTCCCTCGAGTGAGGCCACACAGATGTCTTTGACTGGTGTTTGTTCCCTATGAAATCCTGGCAGGAACTTCTGTGGCTGATGATTACTGCCAGCGATCACCACCGTTCATGAGCAGTAGCACGACATCACAGCATTCCAAGGCAGAACTTGGAAATCAAACTTGGAAGTTAGTGATAGAAACTATGCAGCTCGGGGGAGGGAGAGAGAGAGAGTTGCTCTATATTTAGCAAATGCGGCTAAACACACAATTGATTCTTGCACTCAAAACACTTTGTTCCTTTCCTGCACAAAGCAAAACCAGTCCAGCTCTTCCCACACTCGGGGCATCCCACAGTCATGACAAACTCGGTTTTCTTCACTCAATGATGGCTGAGCAGCCACAAGAGACAATGCCCATTGGAAATATTTTGAAACAAACACAAGCAAGCCCTCTGCTGCGTGTGCTTCTGTATTTACTTCGCTATGTTATTTCTGTGAAAGCAAAGTTTTTTTTAATATTTTCACCCTACCTTGGAAAGTTTTCAGGCAAAGAAAGAATACAACAAAATGACTGCAGAGTTCTTTGATTGTTTGAAAACACGATTTAACATCTAGACCATTGAAACTACTCTTAACACTAAATTAGCATATTTGACAGTGTTTACTTAGAATTGGATATTCCTAGTTTAAACGAACAATATAAAATTCACTGACAAATTTCTCGACCATTGGGTTATCAAAATTAATTTAAAACATAAGTGCATAAATGCATTAAAGGGCTTTCTGAGCTATATCCTGAGCCATTCAAATGTACATCTTCTCATCACCTGCTTTCTTATTAAATCCTTCTTTCTGTCAAACTCCATTCTTCGTGCGACCCATTGATGACCGTATTCGCTGCTTATACACAAACATCCCTACAATCAGCAGAAATAGATTTGAAGAATCAATAATGTTTAGTTAATCATAATTCTATTGAACTAATGTTCTGGGGAGGCATCAATAGTGACCCTTCCTATTTAATGTTGTGTTGGGACACTCGAGATGGGAGTTCTGAACTGTACTGACCTAAGAGTGGTTGACAATGACACATAGTGAAAAATGGAATATGGTCCATTCCTCAACATTGACATGTTGATGAGCAAAATACCTCCCTATCTTTCACTTTAACTACTGTTTGTAGCGTTGATCCATTGGACACACAGCCAATGAGTAAAGAGACGTCTTTATTAAAATGATATGTGTTGTTGCTTTTGTCGGTTGGAGTGAATGCCCTTTTAGTTCTTTCCTGTTGTCTGAGCTGTTCTGTGCTGCTCTGAGCACACAGATATCCAAGGCTGCATTGCAGCCATTCTCCAGGCACTTCTCCAAAGATGTTGAATTGGGAATGTTGACTTTCTTCAGCATTCCCATCTATCACTGTCCACATCATGTTGAGTGGAGGGCATGTAGCTGGATACTCAGACCCCAGACAGTGTGTCAATCATCATGATTTGTCACTGCATCTCCCTGCCCTCAATGGTCTCTTGCTGTCTCACTTAATTGGTTTTGCATACCTTTAAATAATAGCTGTCCTCCAGTGATCTTCTGTCAAGGAGATATTAATAGTCTGCTGATCTAGTGTAGGATCCATACATCGCCTCTAACCAAAGAACCATTCGCATTGTGGCACCTGAAGCTGGTTCACCTCTGCTTACACTATGCTTTGTGTTCTAAAGGGAATTCAGAATAGATTCCTCTCTGGAATACAAGGTCAGCTGGTGAGAAAGCTCTGGTACTGCTCCGCCAGCATCAACACAGACCTTCCTAAAGATAGCTTTCATTGTGCTATTATTTAATTTAATTCATTAAATTAATTTGGCTTTTGCCAACCTGCGCCTAATACTTTCCAGAATTAGGTAAGCAAGATGCGTCCCTTCAGGGAGAGTGTGTGCATATCATTCCAACAATCTACCTCTGGAATTTCAGGTGGATGCATGGAATTCTCAGTTTGGTTTGGACATTCGTAAGCATGGTGATGGGTTTCCACATGTGTCAGGCTGTCCCACCACCCCCCAAAATAATGTAGTTAATTTACCTAAGTGAGCATTTGAGTGCAGCTGCCCATTTATGCCGGTGGATAGTTTAACTAAATGCTAAATATCAGACAGGGGAGTATTGTGGAGTCCTGTAGTTCAGTGGTTAGAGCACTCGCCTTGCAAGCGAGACACCTGGGTTCAATTCCAGGCAGACGAAACACCCGGTTGACAACAAAGACCCTAAATACTCACTTGTTTCAGAAAATAAGGGTCAGTTTCAAAATAACCTGACATATAAGTAGGTCTCCTTACTGCAGATAAACCAACCCAACACTCTAACCACAGGCCATATATGGTAGCTAAAGGGAGGTTTTGACCAACTGATGAATAGAAAAATGTCAGCACAACACTGCCCACCAAAACACTCAGAGGGACCATGCACTGCTCTAATCTACCCAATAAGCCCCTTAATGTACTTTGCTTGCTCAAGCTAAGCCCCTTTCAAGCCATAACCACAGCAATGATGTAATGCAAGGTCTTGAAGTGCATAAGACCATCAATCTATGTATATACAAATTCATAATGCATCTTGTAATTCATAATGCACTATGTCATCTGCAAAGCATCACAAAACATATGGTGATTATACATACAACAAAAACATTTCCAAAATATGCAGTATTCCCAAAGGGAGTATGGAATGAGGAAACAGAGAAGTAGCATGTATAGTAGAATTACTCAGAGGGAAAACAACATCTGTAATGGGGTGAGAGGAGAGAAGGACAACATCTATAACAGGGGTGAGAGGGGAAATCAACATCCATATATAATGGGAATGAGAAGCAAAGGCAACATTTATAACAGAGATAGATATAGCAATTAGGTGATGCCAAACCTTATTTTAAAAGCCTGTAGATCGTAGGAGAATGGGAAAAGAGAATTTGGGGTAAGTCTGGATGAGGATCATATGGCAGAAACATAAACATAAGAAGAAAATTCAAAGTAACGACAACGATAGGTGCATAATAAAATAGGGAAAGAGTGTGGGAAAGCGAGAGATCGGTAACTAGTGTTGTAAAGTAAAGCTGTTTGATCGCTAAGAGATGGCAATAGGCTTGCATAGCCCAGTGTCCACTTAATTATTCTGTGCATACCTTATCCAGTGAGATTTGGTGTGACATATGAAAACAACAGGGATTCAATGTGATATTCATCTATTGAAACTGGTAGCAGAAAATTGCCTTAATCTTGAAAATCTCCACTTAGTTCAATTTTATTATTGCATGTGTCCAAACTAGCTTCAGTGATGCTATCACTATAGAGAAGCAAAGCACAGCCCTAAGGGATACTGCGGATGACAAATGATAAATGTTCAGCTTAAGGGAAGTCGAGGTTAGATAAAGGTTATCTGTACAATATTGCCGTAAATTACTGTGGGACACTGCACATGTCGAAGTGCTGGTGGGCAGCGTGTAAGAATGTAACTATCTCACTCCCAGCTGACCCTGCCTGGAAGCTTTATGTCACCTGCAGACCTGTTAAAGTTAGAATATTCAAGAAATATCAAAATACCAACTTCAAGAACAGTCCTTTATTTTATATTTTTTATTCTTGATGAAGCCGGTTGCTCTGCCCACCTAGAGGTATTGTCGGCAAAACAAATACTGGTTAAAACCAAGTTGAATGATATTGAGTTACCTAAGGGTGAGAGAACCCGCTCCCAATGCAGGTCTGCTCTTTTCTCCTGTGTCCATCCGCACATACCGTGGTCGAAATTGCAGCTGCTCACCAAGATATCTGCAAACAAACAGCAAACACCAGTCATTCACTCTATGGATCCTTTGCATTGAAGGTGCAGCTGTCAGATCATTAGCGAGGCTTGGGGCAGCTTTACTTTTCAGAACAACTGGCTGCGAATATTTTGCTACAGATGTTAATGGCAAGATTTTCCAATGAGTTTTTTTTTAAAAATCTACGCCGTAATTAATAAAAGCTGAGAGAATGAAGCATTGCAAGTGTAGGTCAGACACCAAGGTTGTTTTACTGTAGCTCAGTGGTTAGAGCTTTCGCCTCGCAAGCGAGAGACCTGAGCTCAATTCCCAGCTAGGGAGAACCGTTGGGCAAGTTTCCTTACTCCATATGCCTCTGTTTTACCTTGCAATAAATAGGAACCTGATTGTTAGTCGATTCACGGATCACTTTTCCAGGGATAATAATCCCTTAAAAAAATAATAATAATAATTTGGTCACTCAATCCAAGACGGTTTGTGGGACACTGCTGTGCACGATTGGTGGCCGTGTTTTGCCCACAAAATATACAGTCAATTCACTTTATTCATTGTAAAATCTGTGAGTGCTTTGAGACATCAGAAGACGTGATAAGGCGCTGTATCAAATACAAGGATTCTTCTAATTATTATTATGTATGTTCAAGTCCTTATTAAGGAAAAATCTAATGTAAAAATCATCCTACATTAGACTTCATCACTGATGAAGTAGGGTGCCAAGCCATTACTATTTAGCTCCTTGGGACATTGTTGTCCGGAACACTTGTAGAAACTCCCTTCTCTTTTTGAACAGTGCCATGGGATCTTTAAAGTTCAGCTGAACACGGAGGGTCTCAGTTTAACGTCTCACCCGAAGGACAGCACCTCTGACATTGCAGCACTTTCCAGTGTTATATTGGAGTGTCAGCTTAGACTATATGAGTTCCAGGTCCCGACATGGGGCTTGAACCCAAAACCTGGAGTTAAACAACTGTGGCGAGCATCACACTATCCTCTATCTTCATCCACCCAGGCTGAGGTCAATTAATGTGGCACAAACCTAAGGGTCGAACCTGGAGCTTTTCTTACTCTGTGTAACTTGGAAGAAAAAATATAGAACCCAAAAACATTTACACACTTACACAAAAGATCTGGTTGAGATTATCATGTGTTTAATGAAAGCTGCCTGGTAGTGCATTGGATGAGCTCACTGTTTTTGATTAAATGCACGTATGTAAAACTGTTAAAGGTTTAAATTTGTCTGTAAACGGTACTGACCATAAACGGTAAACGGCAGCACGTCAGATCTGACAGAAGTCAAAGATCCTTCACACTCTGGGGCACTCTCAGGTCTAAATGGGATTTATTCTGCACCAGGTGCAGCAATTTGATCTTTGAAATCACCCCCTGAGGTAGTTATGGAAGCAGGGCTCAGGAATGATATGATGGGTTTCAAACCTACTTGCTTTTAGATGCGGGCTTTAATTTGATGCAAAAACAAGATCAAATGGAAGGTCCTTCGGTCCATCTGATCTGATAAACAACTGTGCTGTATAAAGAGGGTGCATGATCACAAGCATACTGGAAGTCAAAGATACAGTTAAGAGATTTCTGTTGTGCACATCGTCTAAACCTGAACAGAAATCACAAGAACTCAGCAGTTTGTTTGCTTCAGCTCCATTCACTCACTTTCACCCTCAAACTGACTTCCAAAAGTCTACAGTTGGTTGAATTCTTCAAATTGATTTATCAACAACTCTTCCCCTTTTCAACTTGCATTATCCCAGTTTTAGAAATTTGAAATCCGTTCCACGAATTCAGATTTCAGCAGGCTCCATCCAGCCTCCTCCACGTCTCCCATCCGGCCCAACCTATCATGGACGGTTGGGCCTTCAGTATCTCTGCCCCAAACCCTTTGGAAATCCATCCCACAGTCCCTTCGCCTTGCTCTACTGTTTAACCAAACCTTTGGCCACCCTCTACCCCTACCTCCCTGCCCTCTACCCCTCCTGATCCCATCCCCCTGCTTGGGTCCATATCCCTGACTGTCCAGTGCCTTGGGACGTCCTCCCGATATAAACCTTTATAAGTTACTGGTTAGGCCTCAGCTGGAGTATTGTGTCCAATTCCTGTAGCTCAGGGGTTAGAGCACTTGGCTTGCAAGTGAGAGACCTGGGTTCGATTCCTGGCAGTATATGGGGTGAAGCACTTTGAGACGTCTAGAAGATGTGAAAAGCACTATATAAAATGCAAGGATTATTATTATATTATAATTCTGGGCACCACACTTTAGGAAGGATATCAAGGCCTTTGAGTGGGTGCAGATGAGATTTACCAGAATTGTAGCAGCAATGAGGGGCTTTAGATATGTGGAGAGACTAGAGAAGATGAGATTGTTCTCCTTAGAATAGAGAAGGTTAAGAGGAGATTTTCAAAATAAGGTGTTCAAATTTATCCGGGGTTTTGATAGATTAGATAGGGAGAAACTATTTCCAGTGGCAGGTGGTTGGTAATCAATGGACATCGATAATAATAATAATCCTTGCATTTGATATAGCGCTTTTCACGTCAGGAGGACGACCCAAAGCGCTTCACAGAACACACTGTAAAGTGAATTGACTGTATATTTGTGGGCGAACGCGGCAGCCAATTGCGCACAGCAATGTCCCACAAACAGTCGTAGATTGAAAATGACCAATTTTTTATTATTGTTTTTGGTTTTGGAGGGATTATTATTAGGCTCTGTGTGGAGTAAGGAAACTTGCCCAAGGTTTCGCCCTGACTGGAATTGAACTCAGGTCTCTCCCTTGCCAGGCGAGTGCTCTAACCACTGAGCTACAGGACTCCACTGTAGATTCAAGATAATTGACAAAAGAACTAGAGGGCAGATAAGGAGAATTTTTTTTACCCAGAGAGTTGTTATAGTCTGGAATGCACTGCCTGAAAGGGTGGTGGAAACAGATCCAAAAACAACTTTCAAAGGGAATTGGATAGGTACTTGAAGAGGAAATATTTGCAAGGTAATAGGGAAAGAGCGGGGGCGTGGGACTGATTGAGTAGCTCTTCCAAAGACCCAGCACAGTCATGATGGGCCGAATGGCCTCCTTCTGTGCTGTAAAATTCTATGATTCTATGAAGGGCACTATACAAATGTAATTCAATGCTGTTCAGCATCTGTAACAACGATAACAATTTACATTTATAGCTAAATTTTTCATTGTTGTTGATTATAATAATAATAATTTGTGCACTTTGAATAGCAACTTTCATGTCAGGAGGACGTCACAAAGTATTACACAGGATTTACTATGTGGACTGTATATTTGTGGGCAGCCAATTTGCACACAGCAATTTCCTACAAACAGCTTTGGAATGAGTGAACAATTTTATTTGGGGGATTGTTCGCCGAGACACCAGGAGAAACTCCCTTCTCTTTTCGAATAGTGCATGCGCTCTTTATCATCCACCTAAACAGGCAGTTTAATAGCTCATTTGAAGGACAGCACCTTCGACAATGCAACATCCCCCAGCACTGCACTGGAGTATAAGCTTAGAATAACAAGGCCATATCGAAGTTCATTCTTGTTCAGCTAAATTAATTTTTGACCATTACTTCTCTGAGCCTGTACTCTTTTGCTACCGATTTCCAAACTGTTAAACTTATATCTGTCATAAGGGAGTGTAGTAACCGTTCAAAGTATTAGCTGAGGGTAATCTGGTGATATCTCATTCAGACCTAGATGCTGTGTATCAAGTTAGCCTTAGGCAAGAAGAGAAAGTGATCTTTTCAACTGTGGTTCACTTCAGACTTTTTTCTTCTCCCCGATCAAGATAACTTTCTGATCTCACTTAAAAGTTAAAAGTTTAGCTGGAATCTATTTATTTTAAATGGGTTTAAGTTGGCCATCATATAACTACAGCACTAGGAAGGATTGCTGTGATCATAATGAAAATCGATCTGCCCCCAGAAATATTCTGCTACAAATAAGTGCAATCTTCGGATTCAAGTGCTAGGGGCATCTAGAGTTTCTGTACATCAGTTACAAGAGCAAAGTTTGGATTTATCAGCACGTCAATACAATGTCACTGAATGGTGACGACACACCGTCTGGTTTATGTGCTTCTCGGGAGTGGAAACTCTGCTTCAAAGTAAAGTGAAAGGGAACGGATTCCACCAACATTGTAGACAAGTGTGGATTCTTCCAGATGTCAGATGAAGGGAGCTAGAGCTTCTGTCTGAAAAGAGAGCGACACTGACAAGATTCCAATTGTGATAAGCACGACAATAAAATGAACTAACTGGAGGGCGAAAGGGACGATCACAGGGATCAACAACAACTACATGCAGTTTTGCAGGGTGTCCAAAAAGTCATGGTAACTACCCTATTATCCCAAAACAAACAAAAATATCATCATTTCTTTGAGACTTTATTAGACATTGTAAAAGTGTGACAACTTTTTGGTCAGATTATTATTTAATACTTGTTGAAATAATAACAACTGTTAAACAAGTGCTCAAGTGAAGCACATCCATGAGATAGTCTGAACCCCTCCCAGTAAAACTGTCCAGTGTCTAACCAACCCCATGGGTAAGACATCCGCATTGCTTGGATTGTGTGGTTTAACTTGACATAGCTGGAAGCATAGCCAACTCTAAACAGCACATAAATGACAGGATCTGAAGAATTACCTTGATCGTCCCTTGCATCATTTTCCTCTGCAGTAATCCCTTTCTCAATGTCAAGGAGCCCAATCAAAGCTCCGTTCCCTCCGGGCTGGCGTGGGACTGCGGATGAATGAATGAAGAGCTGTTAGCGGCAGTTAAAAGGCTAATGGTGTTCAGACAGTCATACAAGGGTAATTATGTCACTGGTAAACGGAGTGGAGAACAAAGACTTTTCCACTCTACAGCTTACAGTCTTCTTTTTCTTACAGAGACAGTATCCCTTTCATTACGCCAGACCGAGCAGGCTAGACTCAGACAACAAGCCTGCAAAGCATCCCTTTAATTTTCCCCCACTCATCCATAATTGCCAATTGGTACATGCAATCCACGGATCACTGAGCAACATTGAGCAGCACTGTAGCTTTAACACAGGTTTTTTTTACTAAATATAAACTTTTAGCATATTCTAGCGTGTCAACCTGATGCAGTGGTTTGCACTCTTGCCTCTGAGGCACAAAATTGTGTGACCTGGAATCACAAAGTCTAAGCTGAATCTCCAATGCAGGGCTCGGGTGGGGGATTTGCATTCGGATGAGACATCAAACCGAAGTCTGATCTGACTGTTCATTTGGATGTTAAAGATCGCATGGCATTATTTGAAAAGAGTAGGGAGTTTGTCCCGGTGCTCTGGCCAATAATTCCCCAAATAAACTTGGTCACTCGCTCCATTTGTGGGACATTGCTGTGTGCAATTGGCTGCCCCGTTTTGCCTACAAAATACAGTCGATCTACATCTTGTGAAGCAATTTGAGAAGTTGCGAGAATGTGATAAGGAGCTATATCAAATGCAAGAATTATTATTATTTATATTGGAAACGACTGGTCACTCAACTTAAAATGTTTTCTGTGGGTGGGGAGTGGCAGGGAAAGGCGGGGGGGCGGGGGAGCAGGGGGAATGCAGTGAGAGGGGGTTAGCATTTTATGTTCCTCAGTGTTAAGAGTCACTGTTGTACACAACATCAAGTATTCCACACACTGTCAGGGTTCCAGAGTGCAATTATAGGTGACCAGAGTGAGACCAAGAAATCCCGAGGAATCTCACTGATTTCAGCCACTCTTAAAGTGGTGCTTTGGGGAAACCTGGCACATATGTCGGATGCATCAGAGCTGTAGAATTAGCTACATGAAGTTCCCATTGCTCTGCCCTAATATGTGACGATGATGGTGCTTTGACCTTATTTTTTTAACAAAATACCTATTATACCAGTGAGCTAGCAACGTAGTTCTTGCAGTCTATCCATTTGTATCATGAAGGGTGTCAGGCAGAGAGAAGTGGGGAGAAATTCCACCTGTTTCCTCGAGAGTAAAACAGGTGGAATTTCTCCCCAATGAGTGAAGCATCTTAAGCGACTAGAATTTGACCTCCTCATAAATGTAGCTTTCATTTTCTTTTTTTCCTTTTTGTAAGTTTCTTCACTACAGAAAACCGACTTCAAAGCGAAGATTGAATTGGATGATACTGTAAATTTAGAGACAGGTGGAATTTCTCAATGCAAAGGGTGAACATCTAAACCAACCAACTCACGCTCATTGCAGGTTACAATGGGGATTAGACTGACCCAGAGCCAGCTTTTATTACACCTCAGGAGGCCTGAGAGAGGGGAAGAATATAATACTATAACAATTGTCTGCTGACGTTTCCGTGCAAATAGATGGGGTTACATGGCTTTTCATTGAAAAACCAAAGTTTTTGCCTCTGTCAATTGCCACCTGTCTCCATCTAAAGCTGTTTGATTCCTTATCCCTTCTACTGAGTTACAGTTCCATTTATGCTGAATATTCCCCAGTAACAAGTGGCCATGATTTGTGTCTGAGCTTTGACAGTGAGTTTTTGGAGGCTCTTTGGCCAAAGCTAACATCACAGAGTTCATCACAGCCTGTCCTGAACTGACATTCACTCATGTGCACTTTCTAGCCGGGATCTACGGAGAGCACCAGGAACAGGGAGGCCTTGGTTCATTTTTCTCCTCCTAACCCAGGGACCCTGAGCCTATCTATAACCCATATAATGCTTTGGTTGATCCGTGACCTCCTGATCCACCTGCGTAAGGTGTTGCCTTTATCAAACTTGGCACCAGGGGAGTTGCCTGACACATTCACGAGGAAAAATTCACTTCGCAAACAGAGCAGACAGTGCAGAGCAGACGTGCCAAAGTCTATAAATACTATATCACACTTCACATTTTTTACATGGCAGAATTATTAAATACTTTCAGCCTAATCGTCTTACATAACAGCACTACAAATGCATGTTCAAAGATATTATTTTATAAAGTTAGTTGGACCTCCCCCTTTATTATTATTATTAGGCTATTATTATTATTATTAGGCTCCTCTGGACACCGCAGAAGCAAGGCCAGTCCATTACATAGTTTCAGCAGAGAAAGCATCGATACCATTGTTGGCCATTGCTTTTGCGTGCACCATTGTTCTGACTTAGTTTGATGGAAGAATTGAAAGAATTAACAATAATATTGAAATAAACCATGCAACGAGAACACCACTACCTATCCAAAAAAAAATCCTTGGCAAAAGGTCTCGAGCTGAGCCATAATTCTATTTATGTTCCTGACTTTAGTATTGAAACATGCTGTGCACCGTGGCTGCCAAAATTCCAGTGGCAGATATGGAGATCAGTGGCCTACGCACAAATATCAGCAGGGCTGGAACGATGGAGAGAACAGCTCTTTCCGTTTCTGACCATTGATATCACTCTATCGATGCTGTGGTTTCTTTTAGAATCAGGCCACAAGCTGTTAAGGCTGGAATTAACCTGGAATGGAATGCCACAGCCCGGGTACAACAGTAAATGTACAAGGCTGGGTGCCAGCTCATTCTGACTTGCTGGTCTGTCTCTAATCTGTGGCTGGGGTTCAGCTGAGGGCCAGCTTTTACTTAAGAACTTAAATGTCACTAGTTGCATGCCAGATATGGTTAGAATGTTTTTACCCTTGTCCAGAAGAAACTTCCAAATTCACCATCCCTCCTAGCTCACTGTTTGGGTTATTGTCACTCTGTACTTCTTTGCTTGCCAGCTTTATATGTGCTACAACAGTGGCCAACCTCCAGGTCATCATGTTGTCGTCAATGTCACAGAAGCAGCAATGCACAAGCTAAACTACACATGCTCCGTTATAAGCCATTTGGGATTTGATGGATTTCTTTCATCTGCCAATTCCATGTTGATACTCAGGGGTGCCTTCGCTTGAAGAGGACAAATGTCAAGGCACTAGCCACGTTGACCTTGAGCTATTGGGGGATGTTCTGTCATAAATGTAAAAGGCCCAAAGCTCACACATACTTTGCGTTTCCGAGAGCAGGGCTAACTCAGTATGAGTGCTGAGGTGTTTTGGTCATTCTCCGTGACACAACCTTCCCAGTACCAAGAACAAAGACAGTCAAACCCAGTTATAATGTGGTGCAGGAAGTCCATCAAATCCCAAATTATAACAGAGCATGAGTAGTTTAACTTGTGCATTGCCACTTCTGTGATAGTGACAGCAACATGGTGATGTGGAAGATAGCCACTGCTTTCTGTCCTGGATGAAAGTCAACTTTCTACAGCTGAAAGTCAGCAAGACGGAGGCTCTCCTGACTGGCTCGCACCAGCGCCTCCGCACCTCAGGCACTGGCAGCATCAGCATCTACGGAAGCACACTCCAGCTCACCAAGCCAGTCAGGAACCTGGGCGTCTTGTTCGATCCTCAACTGTCCTTCTCCCCCATATCCGTGCCGTAACCCATTCTGCCTTCCCCCACCTCCACAACATTGCCCGACTCCGCCATTGCCTCACCCCTCAGGCTGCCAATAACCTCATACACACATTCATCATTTCAAGGCTCAACTACGGAAACTCCCTCCTTATTGGGCTCACCGACTCTTCCCTCCAAAGCTGCAGATCATCCAGAACTCTGCAGCTTGTGTCCTCTCCCACACCAGGCTCTGTGACCCCATCAACCCCACCCTCGCCCGGCTCCACTGGCTTCCCATCCCTCAGAGGATAGAATTCAAAATCCTTCTCCTCACTTTCGAGGCCCTCCACAGCCTTGCCCCCTCCTACCTCTCTGACTGCTGCCCCCCTATCAACCTGTCCACTCCCTCTGCTCAGAAGGCTCCGGCCTGCTCCATGTCTCCTGTCCAACCCACCCTACTATCAGCGGCCGGGCTTTCAGCCTCTCTGCCCCCACCCTTTGAAACTCCATTCCACAATCTCTTTGCCTTGTTCCCTCCCTCGCCACCTTCAAGGCACGACTGAAGACCCTCCTTTTCGACTGTGCCTTTAACTGCCTTCTTACCTCTCTGCCCTCCCTTATTCCCAATCCTGCCCCCAATCATGCTTGGGTCCTGATCCCCGACTGCTCAGCGACTTGGGACATCCTCCGACGCGAAAGGTGCTTCACAAATGTAATTGTGTTGATGTTGTTGTTGCTTTAGCATGCGTAAAACTGGACCAATAAGCTCCTGCCTGAAAGCAAACCTGCATTGTAATGAAGCATGTCATAACAGGGTTTCACTGTACCTTCTCATGTTCAACCATCTCAGAAATTACAGTCAAGTATCGTAACTATTTTTGTAGGCAAAAGGAAGTTCTGGGATAGAGCTGTGAGGTGGAAGATGATTTACCTGGAGGATTGTTGGCCAGGAGAAACCCATTTTCCATGGGAATTGAGAAGCATTGCAAAAAGCAGACAATTGCCCAGTGACATGGACACAACACGACAGCAACCTTGTGATCTCAACTGAAATTCTTAAATCTAATGGGTGAATGGAAATTAAGTTGATGAACGTTTTTATAATCTAGGACCCTGAGGTTAATTGAATCCGAGAAAGTAAATGGCACCAATTTCTGTAAAGATTTAGCTTTTCCAGTTACTTTAACTTTTCCTGAGATTTAAGCATTACATTCCAAGTGGCAAGTGGTGTTTCCACGGAACCAAATTACAATAATAATAATTATCCTTGCATTTTATATAGCGCTTTATATAGATGAAACACATCATTGAGATGTCCCAAAGGGCTTCACAGAATACATTGTAATGTAGATTTGATTATTTTGTGGGCGAAAGGGAGTTAAAACAAACCATTAAAAATGTCAGGGATATTCGGTAACATTGTAGTTTATAAAATTTTTGCGCTCTCATTACTAGCTTCCAATCCAACCCCAAATGGCAGCGTGAATGTTGCCTTCCTCTGTAATAATAATCTTAACATTTTGGTCACAAATTACTAATTTTATCTGAGGGATTGTTGGCCAGGACACTGGGAGAAGCTCCCTTCTCTTTCAAATAGTCCCATGGGATCTTTAAAGTTCTCCTGAGACAGGGCCTCAGATTAACGTCTCATCTAAAGGACAGATGAACCTGTAAAAACTGCCAAAAAGATAGTTTGCAGCTAGTTTCTACTGGTCATGGGTCTACCAGGAGCAAAATTCCTAAATTCAATACTGTTTCTTTGTTTCACTCGGAGAGGCCATTAGGATGGGTTGTGTCACACTGGTGCATTGTGGTTGGGAGTAAGACACATTGCCAGGGCAAGGAAGAGACAGCTTTACTCTGCACTTAGTTTAAGATTTAAATATTGTACATTGGTTGGAAGCAAGTCCTGTTCTATTGTCGTCTTTGACTTTAAGAAGTTGCCGCTCTAAGTCCAGTCAGAGACAGGGATGATCTAAACTGCTAACAGAGTCACTCAGCTCCGTGATTATCTTCCCTTTCCGCAGTATGACAAAGCATTTCACACGCTTCTTGGAACGTGTTCTCTGACCTTTACTGTTTGTCAGGCACACATTTTTGGCTTGTTGGCAGGTGGAGGGAAAACAAAACAAGCTGCCGTGGGCGTCACGTTAAAGAAAAGGAAAGTGCAGAGTGGCACAAGGAAACAGCACTTGAGGACAAATGGAACACAGCAAGGAGCAGGCAAAGTCTGGCTACAGATGTTAATGGCAAGGCAGAGAAGTACTTTTGCTTACAAGTAAAACTCAGCTCCCTTGATAGTGGGTAGACACCCTAAGCCATGCATGCCAGTTAGTCAGAGGTTCAAACCAATTCTAGTTTGTGTTGGGTTGGCTGAGGTGACAATAGGTATTTAGAATTGGTTATTTTGATTACGAAGGGGTTAACCGGCCAGGGTTCTCACTCTTGATCAACCACCCCCCACCCCCTCCACTTGCCAAAGGTTTGCATGACCGGACGTTAGAATACTGTAATGCTGCCAAGTCTTATCCACTTTATTTTAAAAATTAATACGGTGCAGAGTAGAAGTGTGGAAAATTCTTGTAACTCAGTCCTAATTTGGAGGGAGCAGGTTCCCAAACCATGACATGGAAACAGAAATATAGAAAGCTACAGCGCAGAAAGAGACCATTTGTCCCATCGGGTCTGCACCGGCTCAGATAGCAAGGAGATCAATTCAATCCCACCTCCCCACTTTAACCCTATACCCCTTCAAACTCTCTCTTTCATATGCCTATCTACTTCACTGTTGAAAGCTACAATGGCCTCTTCCTCCACCACCCTACTCGGAAGGGCATTCCATATCCCAAACACACTCTGGGTGTAAAAGTTTCTTCTACGTTATCCTCTTACTGTTTTTGTGGCTATCTTATACCTGTATCCCTTTATCTCCTAGGCACTGACTCCCTTATCAATGGAAATACCTTCTCCCTACTTACCCTGTCAAAACACTTCATAATTTTGTACACCTCCATCAGGTTCCCCTGAACGAACCTTCTCTGTTCCAATGAAAATATGACTTGAATTGAAGAATGTTCCACAATCTTTCATGGTCTTAAATGTTAAAACAAGATGGTTTTATAGCGTAGACGAGCTGGGATTTCAGACCTCAGGCTAGGACAGCATCAGGCTTGGATGTTATATCACCCAAACATCTGCTGAAACTCACTGTCAAGCCTCACTCATGGGTATTGGACGTGTGGGAGAGGCGTATGGAACTGTAGCCCAGTATAAGTGTAAAGGAAAAACAAAATAAGAAACAGTTGCAAGAGAAAGAGGAGAAAATTGGCCAAGATTTTTAAAAAGGGTAAAATGGTTTGCAGAGATCCAGTGGTGTGGCATATCAAAATGTCAACAAGCCAAAGCACCATCTGAGTGAAGGGCAGGCACTTTATAAATGCAAGTTGCTATTGTCAATATTTTTGCTGCAGACAAGCAGGAGATTGCCTCAGCCCTTCACATCAATTCCATTCAAAGATAGTTCTTATCTCAGATGAGGATAGAAACAGTACTCTGTCTCCCACCAGCAAAAGAGAAGAGAGAAGGGAGTTCAAGAGAAAAGTCAAGGAGAAGGCAACATATGTTGGCTTGTCCCTGACTTCCCCCCTGCTCCCCGATTCCCTGTGGACAGGCCATGTGCTGGCCAGAGACTGACAATCCTATCACTGCCCCCAATAATCCAAGTCGGTGTGGAAACAACAATCTATGCTCCGAGCAGTTTCCCTCAGCCTGACTCAGGTTAACTTTGCCTAACCCAGAGCCTGCACTGAGGTAGAAAGTATATATGAGAATGTCAGAGAGTTGCTGGTCTATTTGCAGATTATATGGATTACACTTGCTGACAGACAGCAAACGTACACCCTGAGAGCTATGTCTTTCTATATTTTCTACCAGTTTACGTGACAGAGGCTTAAATGTGTCCAGTCCTTTTGAACCTCCCTATAATTTAATATGTTTGTATATCTATGGGCATTAACATATTTCTAATGCTGCTACTGGGTTTTTCTTATTGGGGCAAAATTTGCAGTATTCCTTAATGTATACCTTGCACTATGTGAGATAAAAAATGGTTAAGGAACGGTTCTGTTGTTTTTATGTTGTATGATGAGGGTGGGTGTTTCAGCAGCCACAACAGAAGATATGCATCAAAGGTTATGTATCTGTTTACATCCAATTGAAGTTCTCAGCGCTTTGGGACATCCTTCCGACGTGAATGGCGCTCTATAAATGTAATTTTGCTGTTGTTGTTCTGAATACAATATGGTGTGTCTGACAAAGGATTATTTGAAGGTTTGTGACATGACAACATGGTAGTAACAGTGCTCTTCTGATCTGAGGCAAAGCCTCGTGACATGAGGATAGTACGTTGCAATTCACAACTATCGAATCCACTCAATCCGGAAGAAACTCCCTTCACTTTTCACATCATACCATGGGATCTTTAATATCCACCTGGACAGGCAGACCAGAGCGAAATTTAACATCTCATCCAAATGATGGCTTCTCCAACAATGCAGTATAGCCCTAGCAATGCAATTAACTAGTCAGCTAAGACTATACAAGTTCTAAATCCTGACGTGGGGCTTGAACCTACAACTGCTGATTCAGGGGCGAGAGTGTTACCAACTAAGCCAGACTAACACACAGCCAGTGAGCAAAAGCAAAAAAAACAGAAGTAAAAAAACACAAAGGACCCAAAGTTGTGAAGATTTGGAAGGGTTAAAAAGAACAAGAAAGAAGAGAAAATAATTAGAAAAAAGATGAAAGTGATTGGGTTAAAACAGAAAGAAGACAAGGGGAAGGAAGTAAAATATGAAGAACAAAATGAAAACAGGATATATATTAAAAACTTTCATCCTATACTAAAGAATGTGGCATGAGATCGCTCTAGTTTACAGTGCTGTAAAAAGGGAATCATGTGTTGACTGTCTGCTCAGAGTCAGGTCTAAAACACATTATTGGTACCATTTGCAAATAGACTCCCACATACAAAACACCAACTTGCACTTATATAGCACCCTTCATGGCCATGTATCAATTTGCATCCCATTAAAGTTGTGAATACAACATGGGGTTCACTTTCAGAGGCAGTCTGGCGTTCTCCCACTTTCAGATATCAGTGTCTCAATGGCTGTATGTCATGCTGACCTGTGGGAACTCCGCTTCAGGAGTAGATCGCATCAACCCAGCATTCCCACAGCTCAGCATGACATATTTCTAGTTCCCAGCAGAGCCTCAATTTGTAGTTCCTGCCACAAATTTTGTGTTTCAATCCTCACTGAGCTTGAAAACGGCAGAGCTACCCACTATACCCACATTGAGAAACAATTGCAGAGTAACACAACTCATAGCCCTTCCACTGTCAACATGAAAAACTCACAGTGGAAACAGTGTGTGTTATACCATGAAGGTAGTGATGGTAGATATCTGACCAAGGGCTAGCAATGCGCTGTAGCAATACGGCAAGCCAGGCCATATTGCTCTACAATCTCTCTGATGTAATTCAGTAATAGATGAGTGATAACTTACTGAAAACATCTCCTCTTTGCGGTGGCACTTCATTATGGATCCTGTTGTCCACAGATTTCACTGTGGTTGAGGGCACGGCGGGGGTGAAGGCAGTCGTGGTGCTGATTGTGGTTGTGGCTCCAGCTGTAGTTGTGATTCTGGCTGTGGTCGGGGCTGGTCTGACCTCTGGTGTCCTCGGGATATGTTGAGGGGTGACTGTGATGCGAGGGGGCGCTATCGTTCTAACGTTCCCATTGTTGTCATTGGGGATGGAGTTCATGCCACCGTTGGTTTCATTTCTGCCGTTGCCAGGCGGTAAATATGGGAATTTATTTGTCCTTGGGTCATCTAAACAAGAGGAAGAAGGTCAAGAGAGACTGTTATAAGCTTTTCATTGACTTTTGCTTTAGATATTGTATTGGATGAAACTATATGATTTAGTTTCCCCTTGGTTAATAAAGTCTTTGTCTTGTGTGAAACTGGGTCTCACAGACAGATCAAAGGTTCAAATCCATATGAAACCTATAAAACGCTGTGAGATGTCTCGATGTTGTGACAAGGTGTTACATCAAATGTAAAGATTAGATTTATTCATGTAAAACTATGCTGAGTTAGCTGATCTCAGACAACACTGTAGTCAGACACTATAAGTGGCCGGCCACGTTGGGGGGGCTGGGGGTGGGGTGCGGGGTCAAGTGGATCAGCCAGAATTGCTGTTCCTATTTGTTACAATACAACAATACAAATTTACATTGATAAAGCACCTTTCACATTGGGAAGGCACCTAATAGTTCTGGCTTGGCCCGAGTTGGTGGTGGGAGATGAGAGGGGTGGGGAGGGAAAATAACCAAAGGGACAGTCAAAGAGGTAGGTTTTGAGATGTTGAACAACAATAACTTGTGTTTATATAGCGCCCTTCACACAGGGTAGCGTCCCGGAGCACTGAACAAGGTAAGGGAGTGGGCAAGTACAGTAACTCCTATTGGATTACAATACAAAACCACAATTTACATTCACACAGCACCCTTCATGTCAGGAGGGCGTCTCAAAACATTTGACACTGCTGGCTGGGCACCGAAGCTGGGGGTGGAGGAGAGAGAAAGTCACTCACTACATGGCTATCAGTAATCATGTTTTATTAGAAGGTCACGAGTGGTTGGATGAAGAAGGATCTGAGCCATTTGATCTCATCCCCCTGGTGGGCAGAACAACCATCCTACAGTCCTCCCATTGGCGGGAGACCCTTCAGCCACTCTGCCCCCAACCTCTGGAATTCCATTCCCCAGTCACTCCGCCTCGCCCCCTCCTTAGCCTCCTTCAAGTCCCATCTCAAGACCCTCTTCTTTGACCATGCCATCGGCCACCCCCCTTCCCCTCCCCTCCCTTAACCCCCAACCCTAGCTTGGGTCTGAAATGCTGTAATCTGTCCAGCGCCTTGGGACATCCTCCCGATGTGAAAGGCACTATACAAATGTAATCTTGCTGCTGCTGTTGTCGTTGTTGTTGTAGCATCAAGTTGCTACTTGTATAACTCCAGTCGCCTGGCCTCACCCAACCTTAGCATCCCATTCTAATGGTTAACTCTGTGTAGAGAAATACTTCCTGACACCTTTAACCATCTTGAATCTGCTGCTTTGACACATTGAAGATGTTACATGGGGTTTACTGTCTCAATTCCATTTAGAATCTTACATAAGGTCCTTCCTGAAATGTCTTGTTTAGTACTGAAGCGCCCTGACTTATGTAACTATTGCTCATAGCTCATTCCTCTATCACTGAAGATCACTGCCTCCTCTGCACTGCCTCTAGGGCAGCAAACCTCTTACGAAAAGTTAACAAGTAACAAGCCGATTCCTCATGAGCTACAAATAAAGGACTCACTCAGTGAATAATAGTTCAGTGAAGTATTATTTGTATTGAAGATCTTGCAAGATATTATGATGGTGAGACTGCCAAGAGAAGAGGCCCAGGGCTCTTTTTTTAGACAGAAGGTTGTATAAACAGAGAAAGGAAATTGATAAATATGGCGCTCTGTGCTGAGTAAGAAAGAGAGGAATGTGATTGCATAATATGGTGAATAAATGTTGCCTTTTCAGAATAACAAGAGAATTCCCGCTTGACCGAGTTGTGCACAGTGTTTGGCTCCCATAGGGATGGTTCCTTCCATTGGTCCAGTGGAGAACAGCATCAAAGTCCAAAATGTACCATTGCGACATTTCAATTAATAATAATAATGATCCTTACATTTGATATAGCGCCTTTCACGTTGGGAGATCATCCCAAAGCGCTTTACAGGATATATAAAATATGGTGACTGTGTTTTTTGTTGGCGAACATGCCAGCCCATTTTTGCACAGCAACATCCCACAAACAGCCATGGAGTGAGTGACCAATTTTATTTGGGCGTTGTTGGCCGGGAGAGTGAAACTCCCTTCTCTTTTTGTAACACACTCCCGAAATTCACCTCCAACATAACATGGGATCTGTTGTTTTGTAATAATACTATATAAACAGTGCACAACCTGCTACAGGACAACAATCATATAAGATAATGAGGTGGATGTACGTACATGTGCAGGTATAACCACTGCCTTTGTAACCACTGAAGCACTTGCACTTGTAAGATCCTGGTGTGTTCTGACAGGCAGCAAAAGCACTGCACTTGTGTGTTCTCCTGGAGCACTCATCAATATCTGGAATGGACAATAACAGCAAGCTCATTGCTTTTACCCAGGGACTTTCTTCCAATAAGCAAACCACTTACCCCTGTTAGATCCACTCACTTGGTCAGGTGGCTAACATAATTACAATAATAATAATAATCATATTGCTTGCATCTGGTGTCGTGCCTATCATGTCAGAAGAACGTCCCAAAGTGTTCCACGGGATATATTGTGAAGTGGAGTAACCGTACGTTTTATGTCCACACAGCAATGTCCCACAAACAATCATGGAATGAATGACCAATTTTGTTTGGGGGGTTGTTGGCCTGAACACTGGAAGAAACTCCCTTCTGTTTTTGAATAGTGCCATGGGATCTTTAATGTCCACCTGAACAGGCAGACGAGACAGCAGTGAATATCAAGGGTGGAGGCCGAGAGGTAGAGTTGGGTTTCATTTGCATATATGTGAAAGGTTACCCAATGGAAGACATCACCCAAAACCATAACCAGCATAAGTCAGCATCTGAGAAGATAATTAAGAGTGGGGGGGGGGGCAGAAAGAATTTCCATCTTAACATCATTCGTCATCTAAAAACTTGTGAGAAAAACGTCCTAGGAGCACCTACCCTTGATATTTTTGTGCAACGAGCTGAAACCCACTACAACATTGCAGCTGACAAACACAACGACGTCTAATTTGTGGTGTTTCTTATAGGCAGCCCGATCAACCCGAAGCAATTGGTCCATTGAAACGGAGTCCTACTGGCCATTGTGAAGTACTTCCTATTATTGGAAGGAGTCTCCACTGTTAAGAACATTATTAAGAAACACCATTAAGATGCACCACACATTAAACCTCAATGACAGAGTTAAGTAGCATCTTGTAGACTTACCTACACACCGGTATTTGCCATTAAAGTATCGCAGTTCAAAGCCATCATGGCATTTGCAGAAGTAGCTTCCGAAGGTGTTGATGCATTTGCGGAGTCGTGGACACATTACTCTCCCAGTGGCACATTCATCAACATCTGCAAATAAATGTGAGAAGAGGATCTGACTATTTAGTAACACAGTCACTGCTCAAATACACATTCACTAAAGCAACCTAAAGGTCTCATTTGGTTCAGGGTGATTTTGGCAGTTCATAGTGCCAAGAACATTACTGCACAAAGACATCTGATCCATCAAGCATGCACTAATGTTTTTTTCCGCATGAGTCACCTAATCTAATCCTCCTTTTCTGATCACTCCCTGAAAGTCTTTAATATTTCGCTTCTTGAAGCATTTATCCAATTCCCTTTTTGAAAATTGTAAGTTTCTAACTTGTGAACATTGCCAGGAACAATAGGATCTGTGCCTTCAGAAATTTCCTTTGTCTAAGCAAGAATGTTTTGCTAGCAGATACCAGAGTGATCTATTGCAACAAAGGCACCATTTTAACGATATGATTTTAAGCAGAGACTTGCCCAGCCTCTGGAACAGAATCTTTACTCTAATGAAGATTATGTCATTCAGAAATTCAAACTAATATAATAATAAAATAAATTATAATCCTTGCATTTGATACAGCGCTTTTCACGTCTTCTAGACGTCTCCAAGCGCTTCACAGAATATACTGTCAAGTGAATTGACTTCATATTATGTGGGCAAATGCGGCAGCCAATTGCGCACAGCAGTGTCCCACAAACGGTCGTGGATTGAAGTGACCAATTTTTGTGAGTAAATGGAGTTGAAGTACAGATCAGCCATGATCTAATAGAATGGCGGGACAGACTCGAAGGGCTGAATGGCCTACTCCTGTTCTTATGTTCCTGTGAATGGCACCTTTCGGGCTGGAAATGACCCAACAACCTAATGTCGCTGTCCAAAAGAGATAGAAGAGGATTGACGGCTGCACATTCGGGTTTCACAACTTACAAATGTTTTTCCACTCTCATAGTTTAGACCCAGATCTGAGTGGGCTGTAGGAACCAAGAACTCCTTCTGAACTCTGGTTAATAATCTGTATTCATGTTTAAATAGATGTCCCAATAATAATCTTTGCATTTGCTATAGCACCTTATCACATCCTTGAGATGTCTCAAAGCACTTCACATGATATACTGTAAAGTGAATTAACTGTGCATTTTCTGGGCAAAACAGAAATTAATTTAATTAATTAAAAATAAATGTAAATAATTTCATTTAAATGAATTAACTTAATTAGTTATGTCTATTAACTGAAGGACCAAAAAGGAGCCTCAGTGCTGATGGTGTTCCTGCTCACTTATCAAGGAAAGACCTAGGTCCCCTTTAGAATAATTCTTACATTTGACAAAATGTCTATAAGATCAAATCATCTCAATGCGCTTCACAGGGAATTGCTGTAAAGTATACATGAAAGTAAGAGTCAATTTGTGCAGAGCAAGGTCCTGGAAACAGCCAGGAAGTCAATGACCAAATTATCTGAAGGAATGTTTTCCAGGACATCGGGAGAAACTCCCTTTTAATGTCCACCTGAAATGGCAGACAGGACCTCGGTTTAACGTTTAACATCTGGACAATGGAACCTCGCATAATGCAATCTTTTTTCAGCATTGCATTCGAATGTGCGTCTAGTCTGAGTTCAGTCTCAATGTGCTGTGTGAACCTATAACATTTTGATCCAAAGGTGAGATTGCTACCAACTAAGCCACGCTGATACATCAACAGATTAACAAGGCTCCCCCTGTACATACATACCCACACACGTCCTTCTGTCAGGTCCAAGCTTCAGCCCAGTAGATGGGCAGCGACAGCGAATCTCTCCCTTCACCTCATCACAGCCATACTGACAGTTTGCCATCAAACATGACATGGTATCTGACAAAGGGCATGGACAGTAAATTACCCACCATTATCCACTAAGACAACTCATATGATGCTTATAGCAGTGATTAATCAAGTCCAAGCAAGTGTTACATTTCTGAAGCTGGAGTACATTTGACCAGACTGCAACTCAGGCCTTGTTGTCCTTTTTCTTGAACCTATGTTAATCTGCATGTGTTACACAAGAACATAGCATAGGAGAAAGTATCTGATAATGTACCACACAGACACGATAAGCCGAATCGCCTTCTTCTGTGCTGTAAATTTCTATAGTTCTATGGTTCTACGTGATGTTCATTTTCATGCTCATTTGTCAAGGAAAGACCTACATACCCATCAGGACATGAGCAAGGACATTATTTGTACTTGTTTTAGTTCTGTGCTTAACATTAGGTTCACGGATGAAAGCTCTCCCTCCCCCTCACCTCTGACAATGGTTTCTTCTCTCCGCCATTTCAGAATTTTCTTTTTAATGCATTTTTGATGTCTTTTTTAACTTCTTAAATTTTTATTTGTTAAATAATTGTTAAACCACTATCTGGTCAAAATCTGGACTCTCCTTCGTCCACCTCTCCTTTCCGTTCATCCACGGTCCTCCTTGAGATAATTCCTAATTCATTCACAAACTGGGAATCGCAATAAACTCTTGCTGCTTCTATAAACTGTAGCAGCGACTGGTTTAAAACTACAAGGCCACATTTTCAGAATTGCCGAATGTACATTCGAAACATAAGTCAAACCTTTGTCACATTGTCAGCCATGTGATTCACATCACCATTCTGAGCCAGATGTCCATGAACAGAGGGGTATGTCAAAGCATATCAACCACTTACTTGCACAAGAGCCATCGGGCATGAGCATGTAGCCATTCAAGCAGTAGCACTTGTAGCTGCCGTACGTGTTCATACACCGGTGCTTGCACGGCCGAGGCTTCAGACCACATTCATTTAAATCTGTGCAGAATGAGGGAAAGTCAGAACCCAGAGCCACTCTCAGTCTCAACCCAAATCACACCTTTTACCATGATAGTCAAAATAATTCTTGCATTTCCTATGGCGCCTTGTCACATCGTCAAGACGTCTCAAAGCACTTCACCAGATATACCATAAAATGGTGTGACTGCGAGTATTTTGTGGGCAAATGCATATTTTTTCCAACAATTTATCTAATTTTTTAGTTTTGTATTTCATATGTAATGGCTGATTCAGAAAATGCTCGGCATGTGAGACGTACACTGGTTAGTGGGACATTGCCGTTTGGAAATTGGCTGGTAGGTTCGCCTAAAAACATAAAAATTATATATGAATATTTACACGTATATGTGGAAACATGACCATAAACATAGTACACAGTATCTGAGTAAACTGAGTAAGGTAGAATTGTCTGGAAAGGCAAGGATCCCATTTCATCTTTGCCATTCATCACTCAATCCTTTCATCACCGTTCCTATCCTCTATGTGTCAAGCAGCAACTATGGAGAGAGGAAAGTGAGTTAATGTTTCAGGTCAATGACCTTTTATCAGTTCTGAACTGAATAATTCAGTTTCATTCTGAACTGATGAAACTAGACACTATCCATAGATGCTGCCTGACCTGCTGAGTGTTACCAGCAACTTCTGTTTTGATTTCAGATTCCAGCACCTGCAGTATTTTGCCTTTTATCCTCAACGTTGTTTGACAATATTCAGCATTGATCACATTGGCTCTCACTTAAACAGTAATAAGAATAAAAGACCATAACACCATATTAGTCCACCATATAAAACCATATTAGTCCTACAGGAGCCCTGTAGCTCAGTGGTTGGAGCACTCTCCTTGCAAGTGAGACACCTGGGTTGAATTCCAGGCAGGGCGAAACTTTGGGCAAGTTTCCTTACTCCACACGCCTAATAATAATCCCTCCAAAACAAAACAATAATAAATTGATCATTTTCAATCCACGATTGTTTGTGGGACACTGCTGTGCGCAATTGGCTGCCGCGTTTCACCCACAAATAATAATAATAATCCTTGCATTTGATACAGCGCTTTTCACGTTGGGAGGACGTCCCAAAGCGCTTCACAGAACACACTGTAAAGTGAATTGACTGTATATTTGTGGGCGAACGTGGCAGCCAATTGCGCACAGCAATGTCCCACAAACAGTCGTAGATTGAAAATGACCAATTTATTATTGTTTTTGGTTTTGGAGGGATTATTATTAGGCGTGTGGAGTAAGGAAACTTGCCCAAGGTTTCGCCCTCTGCCTGGAATTGAACTCAGGTCTCTCGCTTGCAAAGCGAGTGCTCTAACCACTGAGCTACAGGACTTCACGTATATGGTCAATTCAATTTACAGTATATTCTGTGAAGCGCTTTGAGACGTCGAGAAGATGTGAAAAACGCTATATCAAATGTAAGGATTATTATTATATTATTATTATTACATTATTATTATTGGGACTAAGCACATTCTAGACTGACATTCAGCAGAAGTAGATGCAAATGATTTAAAAACATATGAACCAACAGAAATAGACAAGGCATATTCAACGATTATTATTAATTAAGTAAAGATATCTGGCATGCTTCTATCCTCTCTATTAGGAAAGCAATGCCAGGCATTTTGAGGGAAGCCAGCAATAGTACCCAATGTGCACTACATTGATGACAACCTCTATTAATAACACTAGCAAGCTTTCAGACACGTGAAACTACGTCCATCCCGCCTTTGTTTATCTGTAAACTATAAGCAACGTCTTGGTGATGACACACCAAAAATCAAATGAAATGTCATATGACCAGTTTACACTGAGATTTCTGTGGCTGTTGAGAATACCCATGTAAAAAAAAAAATCGGGATTGTGAAAAATGAACAGAACAAGAGTATGGAACAAACTGAAGAAGTGAAAAAGATGGGCATGTGTTACAACAACAACAACTTGGATTTATATAGTGCCCTCCACGCCAGACAGCGTCTCAGCGCGCTTTACAGTTTCGGATCCCGGGACCGAGCCACGGGGAGGGGTGGGAAGGTGACCAAAGACGCGGTTGAAAAGAAAGGTCTTTAGCAGAGACCTGAAAATGGGAAAGGAGGGAGCGAGATGAAGGGAGTGAGGAAGGCAGTTCCAGAGCCTCGGGGCATAGTGGCTGAAGACACCCACTGCCGAGGGTGGAGCGGAGGACTCGGGGGACAAGGAGGAGGCCAGACCTGGAGGAACGAAGGCAACAGGTACTGTGCTGAGGAGAGAGGAGGTCAGAGAGGTAGGGGGGTGCAGAGGAGTGCAGTGACTTGAATATGAGGGTGAGGATCTTGAAATCGATCCTCTCTGGGACAGACAGCCAGTGCAGTCTGGCAAGGACTGGGAATACTGGGAAATGCTGCCTTTCCTTATTTGGTATACAGTACAGCATTTTGCTGCTCCCCTGAGTCGACTCATTTCAACATTTACAGCATCTTTCAGCTAGTCAATTCTCAGCTCTCTTCAGCACATAAGGTCAAGAACTATCAAACCGACATTCATAAAGACAAATGCTGGCTGCTGGGAACTGCAATAAAGTGTACAACAAACAGCTTCACCAGTCTCTGAACAAACTACAAATTAATAAGAAATTGCAAGAAAGGTCAGAAGAATGTTTTGTTTCTCTCTCTCTTAACACAAAATGAAACCATTCAGCACAGTCTCATAATCTAATGATGATATTGAACTTTAGGGTAACAGCCCACCTGCACTTAGCAACAACGGGGAATATAGGAATATCTAGAAGAGAGTCCATTACAGCATTTAAAGTTAATTGAATAAATATGTGAGGAAAAATAAGATTTAAGGTACTTGGAAAGAGCAGGGAAAAGTGATCAGATAACCCAGTCGGGGAAAAGGAATGAGAGGAGATAGCCCAGTGGGAGAGTGAGCACTAGTGGGGGAGGCAGCACCAGTGGGGAAGTGAGCACCAGTGTGGGGTGCGTTCCAGTGGGGGAAGAGAACCCCAGTAGAGAGAATCAGTCCAGGTGGATGGGAGAGCCCCAGTGTAGGATGAACCCCAGTGGGGGAGAGAGCCTCAGTGAGGGAGAGAGCCCCAGTGGGGGAGAGAGCCCCAATGTAGGAGTGAACCCCAGTGGGTGGAATGAGCCCCAGTGGGTGGAATGAGCCCCGGTGGGTGGAATGAGCCCCAGTGGGTGGAATGAGCCCCAGTGGGTGGAATGAGCCCCAGTGGGTGGAATGAGCCCCAGTGGGTGGAATGAGTCCCAGTGGGTGGAATGAGCCCCAGTGGAGGAGTGAGCCCCAGTGGAGGAGTGAGCCCCAGTGTAGGAGTGAGCCCCAGTGTAGGAGTGAGCCCCAGTGGTGAATGAGTCCTAGTGTAGGAGTGAGCCCCAGTGGCGGAATGAGCCCCAGTGGCGGAATGAGCCCCAGTGGCGGAATGAGCCCCAGTGGCGGAATGAGCCCTAATAGGGGAGAGAGCCCCAGTGAGGGAGTGAGTGAGCTCCAGTGGGGGAGTGGTACAACTGAAACAAGGGATACAACCCCCAATTTGACATTAGTAGATTTCAAAACATCTGGAAGCATCTCATTCCTAACCCCCACCCCGCCCCCACACCACTAATACTGGTGGTAAGATATTAAAAAAACGTATTTGGCATAACAACATTGTGTAGTTATTACGTACTGGTCCAATGTAGTGTTTAGACAGTTTATAGTAATTTCCACTTTAACTACTGCTTACAAATACACACAGCCTGATCCTGAGCTATGGCAGACACGGTCGGAATATTTATACACACTGCTGTACTTAAACCCACAATAAATCTAACGACTGTCACCACCAACTCACTGAGGTAAGTGGAAGGGCCAGGTTTATGGCAATGGGGATACAGACTGTGAACAAGGAACACGTTTCTCCATTGGACACAACCCAAGTTACAGATGTGGTTTTTCATCAACTCTTACTTTGAAGAGCTCTGCTTCTGTGCTGGTTGGAATTGTAACCTCTATTGGCTAAATTAACCAGTGTGTTACTATTAAACAACCAGCAGTGGAACACATCAAGGCAGTAACCAACATTTATTAATAATGATCATAATAAAAATAATCCTTGCATTTGATTTAGCGCCTTTCCTGTCATCGAGGTGTCTCAAAACGCTTCACAGGATATACTGTAAAGTGAGTATTTTGTGGGCTAGATGCAGCAGCCAGTTGTGCACAGCTATGTCCCATAAACAGCCATGAAGTAAGTGACCAATTTTATTTGGGGGATTGTTGGCCAGGACACTGGGAGAAACTCCCTTCTCTTTTAACATTCAGAATTAAATTAACCAATGTTTACATTAAAAATAAGAAGTAGCCTTTATATACCATAGGGAGCTGGATGGTTAAAAAGAAACAATCTTTGCTTTTTACATCTACAGCTTGTATCTTACACAATAGTGTGGTCACAACACTTTACAGTAAATCCTTTGTGAAGTACTTTGAGACATCCTCCCAAAGTGATCATCACTAAATCAAATGCAGAGATTATTATATTTTTATGCACAAGGATTGATTTTTCCGTCAAATATTCAGTCCATTCAGTTTGGATTTCTCACGATGAACTGTGTTGTGTCAAAGCACTTTGCAGAGTTCTTTATGAAGTGTTTGTAGGCAAACTCACAATCTCACTTAAACAGTCATGAAGTGAATTACCATTTATTTTTATTTAGTAGATTGACGTTGTGATGGGGGAACGGTAGGTGGATATTCTGAGGGAAGACATTAGATGGGTCAATGGCTTCTGCATCCAAACTAATCTTGTGATACTGGGCGAAATTGCCCTTTTTTTTCGAATAGTGCCAACCATAGGGATAACCATGAAACCCACCTGGGTTTAGATTGAATCTATTTATGTAGCATTTAAGAAAGTCCCAAATTTAGCAAATGCTTCAGTACAGTCTTAATTTTGCAGCCAGTTTTCTGCAAGTTTCTTTTAAGAAACGTTGAAAACCGGCTTTAAAATTAAGATTGAATTGAATAATTTGCCAAATTCTGGATACTACAATGCTACATATACAGAATGTCAGCCTGGACTATAATAAGCTTTAAAGGGTCTGATTGATCTTGGGATGTAGAGTAAATAGAGTATACAGCTATACCAATAGGTGGTTTATACAAGAATCTTAAAAGACTCCTCTGTTGTTACAACCTGTTTTTAAAATAATGAATCAAAGAGTTACAAATCTCACACAGAGGTTCTGGCCAAGATAAGTATGGTTTTCTCCATTAAAGCCTACTTACCATGTTTGACTGACTTTTACAGTGACTGTAACATTGTCAAAGCTGAAAGCACAGGGCGTTGGGTAACAAAAAGATCTCTGTTCCTTACCTTGATTGCATGTCTTGCCAGTGTAGCCAGGGTAACATTTGCATTTGTTTGGTCCCACGCACTCGCCGTGTTTACATCCATGTTGACACACAGCTGGTAAAAGCAAAAGGCAAACACATTAGTGCTGGATCAAACGACACTGATGTGCCATGTCGACTCAACAAGGTCGTGGTGACACAATTAACCTTTCACTTTGGGCAAGGATGCAGGAAAACAAACACATCCTGCAAGCCAAACTGAGGCAGCACATAAAGAGAGCGTCTATTCCTGCAAACAAAACCACGCAACATGCACAAGGAGTTCTCAAGGACATTGCTGCTGTGTTTCCAAACTTCTTAAGAAAGGGCCATGTCTGCCTTTGAAGGATTGTATCAAAGGAATTTAACCATGAATCTGGGATGGACGTGTTCACAGAACAACAAGTGCTGGCATTTGTTATTGTTTGAAATTGATGGCTTGCTTATACACTTCCTGGTCCAAGCATGAAATGTGCTTCCTCTTCAACAAGTCCTTTCCCCTGACAATACCTGCATGTTCAGGCCTTGAGCTGGGAAGGGTGGGTGGAGGGTCAGGGGGAAATATATGGTACAAACCCATCATCTTAAAAGTACACCTACCTGCCTTAGATTCCAGCTGATGCACCTTGTAACTTTAACATGTAACATGTACATGTACCTTTAGCAGTGTGAAAATAGCTTAACCCTCAATTCCACATAGGACAGGAAGCTTACTCCAGGTGGATAACTAACTACATGTGTCGAGATTAAAAGATGGCAGCGCACTTATCTTGGAGCAGAACAGGTTTGGATTTGATAGGTTCCTTTAAGATAGGGTGATCATATTTTGTAAACCAAATCCAAGGACCCACACATGAAAAAGTTGAACTTATCTCAATTGCTGATGCTGGCCGGATTGCAGAAGCTTGTTGGATTAATGAGCTGTGTTTCTCTGATGTGTGTATCGGTTTTAAAAAATTATTGTTCTTGCTCAGTTTGTTGCTGAACTCAAGACGGGGCAACTTCGGCCCCATGAATCCTCATCCTGGGATTATCCCTGGAGATCGGGCACTTATGTTCACCCTACTTTAAGGGGCATTTACTGTCTGCAGGATTCTATTACAGAAAGAAAAGATGCGCCTCTTTTAGTCATAAAACACGGCCCCAGATCATCACAGCATTTTCTTTCTTTGTCAACGTTAAGACTTGACTTACCTTATCATACGAAGACAGCCATAAAAAGGTCAAGAGTGAACTTGTTTCTTTTTACTTACCTGGTACATTATACTCTCCCGCCACTCCCTTCACGAACTTCTCCAATCGGGTTTCCATGCCATCCACAGCACAGAAACAGCCCTGGTCAAAGTGACTAATGACATTCTGTCCATCTGCGACCAGGACTCCCTCTGTCTCCTTGCCTCCTTGACCTCTCTGATGCTTTCGACACCGTCGACCACTCTATCCCTATCCACCGCCTTTCCTCTCATCTCAACGGCTCTGTCCTTGACTAGTTCAGACTCCTCTCACACCGCTTCCACTTTATCACCACAAACGACTTCTGCTCTAGCCCCTGCACCGTCTCGTGCAGTGTTCCTCAGGGCTCTGTTCTTGGTTCCCTCCTCTTCAATATCTATATGCTCCCTCTTGGTGATATCATCTGCAGACATGGTGTCAACTTCCACATGTGTGCAGATGACACCCAACTCTACCTCTCTGCCTCCACACTTGACTTCAGGACCACTGCTGTCCTGACAGAATGTCTGTCAGACATCAAGTCCTGGATGAGAGCTAACTTTCTTCAGTTGAACGTCAACAAGACCGAGGCCCTCCTGATTGGCTCCCGTCAGTGCTTCCTCACCTCAGGCACTGACAGCATCACCATCCACGGTTCCACCATCCATCTTACTAAGCCAGTCTGGAACCTTGGGGTCTTGTTTGACCCTCAACTATCCTTTCTACCCCACATCTGTGCCAAGAGCCGCTCTGACTTCCCAACATCCGCAACATCGCCCGACTCAGCCACTGTCTCACACCACAGGCCGCCGAAACCCTCATACACGCCTTCATTACATCGAGGCTTGATTGTCGGCCTCCCCAACTCCTCCCTCCACAGGCTGCAGATCATCCAGAACTCTGCAGCCCGTGTACTCTCCCGCACTAGGCTCCATGATCCTATCACCCGCATCCTCGCCCAACTCCACTGACTTCCTATCACACAGAGGACAAAGTTCAAGATCCTGGTCCTCACTTTCAAAGCCCTCCATAGTCTTGCTCCCCCCCTACCTCTGCGACCTCCTAAACCCCTACCATTCTGCTCGCTCCCTCCGGTCAGCGGGTTCCGACCTACTTCACGTCCCCCGCCTCGCTCGCCCCACTATTGGCAGGCGGGCCTTCTGCCACTTTACCCCCACCTTCTGGAACTCCATCCCGCAGTCCCTCCACCTCGCCCCTTCCTTTGCCACCTTCAAGACCCATCTCAAGGCTCCCCTCTTCGACCGTGCTTTCGATCATCCTGCTTCTCCGCCTGCCCTCCACCCCCGACCCTGACCCCCAGCTCGGGTCCAAAACACTGACTGTCCAGCGCCTTGGGACGTCCTCCTACGTGAAAGGCGCTATACATATGTAATTTTGTTGTTGTTGTTAACAGAAGGTGTTAATGAAACTGGATTAAGAATGAAACCGTCACCTTAGATTTGTGGAAAATTCTTAAATTCAGCTTTAATTTGGAAAGTCAAGTCTCCAAATCTCTCTTCAAAAGTTTTTTAAAGAACAGTGAAAACTCAACATTACACTTAAGAAATTTTTCAAAGTTCTACGACAATGATCTTAAGGCTAAAAGCATGAGAATTTTAGACTTCTGAGGTATGTGACCATTAACTTTGTCTTCATTTGACCAATATTTGGTTCACGTCATAGATAAAAGACGTGGGAGGAACATTGCACCACTTTCAGCATTGCATTTACAGGGCTTAAAAGGCAAATAGCATTGACTGAGCCAATTAAAAGAAAATGGGTCGATGGCATATAGACTGAAACCCAGTGAAAGGGGTTTGATGTCTCACATTCACAACACAGGCTGATAAAAAATTAGTCAGAAATTCACAGAGAGGAAAGTAACTGTGGTATTGAAAATTGTAATCATCAATAAAATAATAATAAAAATCCTTGCACTTGATATAGCACCTTATCACATCTTCAAGACGTCTCAAAGCGCTTTATATTAAAACAGTTTAACGTTTAAAAAGACAAAAGCCCCAAAACTGACTATTATGCTATGAAGGAAAGATATAAGAATAAGATATTATCGTACGATTCAAAACAGCTGTCTGAGGAGCTGGGTCATGGCTGGCACTAAATAGAGAGGCAACGCAGATTTTGTCAATGGCCAGAATTGTCTTGTGGTTCAGCAAATGAATCGTAGATAAGTGAACTTTGTATTTGATATTGCGCCTTTCACGTCGGGAGGGCACCTCAGAGTGCTTCACAGGATTTACTGTGAAGTGGAGTGACTGTGTGTTTTCCAGGTAAATAAAAGATGAATATAGGGAAGGCAAACGGTTCAAGACAGACTGAGAATTAACTAAAAATGACAGTTCCAAAGCATACGCTGTGTCTTCCAGGTGAGTGCTGGTAAAGAGGTGTTTGGTTAAAAAGGAGTCCTTCTGTGGATCATTAAGCAATGTAAATCTTATTTTAATAATAATGTAATAATCCTTGCAATAATATAATAATCCTCGCTTTATTATGTCATTGAGACCTTTCAAAGCACTTCACAGAATACACCGTACAGTGAATCGACTATATTTTCACGAGGGGTGGAGGGGATCATTGAATGCTAGGTTTTGCTTTCACAAATCCAGTAGCATCAATGTAGATATTCAAATCTTTTACTCTAATCTAGTAGCTGGCAATGATTGACAGGAAGGGGATGTACAGTACAAGTGCTGTACCAACATACAGTACTGGGAACTGATTGTATTCGTACGATTCAAAACAGCTGTCTGAGGAGCTGGGTCACAGCTGGCAGTAAATAGAAAGACAACGCAGAGTTTGTCAATGGCCAGAATTGTCTTGTGGTTCAGCAAATGAATTGTAGATCGTTTGGAAGGATAAACTCATGTGTTACGTTTACATAGCAAAAGACACTTAAGCACTGTTACCCTCCCAGTACTTCCAGCAGCTGTGACGTGCCAAAAATCTTTTGTTAAACAGCTAGACAAAATGAGAAGGCTTTCACTTTTTCTGGCTCCCCCACCCCCATCGCACTAAAAAGGTTCAAAAAGTAGGTCTCTACTGATATCCAACCAGGAGGTGACCATAGGCACAGTCGAAGAGATAGATCTTGATAGATATTAAGGTCGGATTTAAACAAAGAGTGGTGAGGTGGCAGGATTGAGGCAGGGATTTCCAGAGGTTAGGACCTAGGGATTGAAGGCATGGCCACTGATGGTGGTGCAGAGAGGGTTGGGAGATGTGCAGCAGGCCTGTGTTAGCTGAGCAAAGCAGGAGGACAGAGGAGTGAGGTATGAACATTGAGGGAATAATTCTATGGACCTAAATACAATCTTATCAGGAGGTTCTATTTCCACTGATCCACTGCTTGTTAGTATCTAAAGAGTATAAAATCAAGATAGTCATTGAAAAACAACAGAGATGTTAAAATATCTTTTACCCTGTGGATTGATAGCATGTGAAATATCCCACCAAAATCCACGGTAAAAGCAGAATTTATCATAGCTTCTTGAAGAGGAATTAGACTAATATTTTAAATAGAAAATTATTTAAGGGTATGAGAAACATATAATACAATAATATGTACATTTATATAATGCCTTTCATGTCAGGAGGATATCTCAAAAGTGCTTGACAACACTGGATGGGCAACCAAACTGGGATTGGGAGCTGAAGAGGGAAAACATGATAGAAAGCACAGTTAAAGCGATATATTTTGAGACTCAGGAGAATGGGTCTGAAGAGACTGTGAGTCTCTTTCATAGAGCTGGCATGATATACTGTGAAGTGCAGTGACTGTACATCTATAGGCGAAATGCAATTTGCCCGAGGCAATTTGCCCACATCATTGTCCCACAAACTGCC